GCTCGGGCCTCCGGGGTCTGGGTGGGGGGACGGCGGGGAGGGCCCAGGGGACGAGCGCTTACCTGCGGCGGCTCCCTGGGCGCGGCCGCCGCCATCGGACTCGGTGTGCGGAGCGGACACCCGGACCGGCCGTCCCCGTCTCGGCCCCGGCGCGGGGCAGCCCGGGCGGTGTCCCTAAGTCTGTGCGGCAGGGACAGCTCCTCCCCGCGCGCCTTCTCGGTCCCGTCACCAGAGTCCCGGACCGGCCTGACGGTGCCGGAACAAACCCAGGAACACCCAAAACCACCGCCGCAACGAGAACGCCGGAAGTCCCGCCCGAAGCGCTGTTAAACGCACGGAAGAGCTCTCACGTTGGCTCAACCCGCAGCTTCTCCGCGCGGTACCCTCTGGGTAATGTAGTAGAGGCGGTAGGGAGGGCGTTCCCCACCGGAACCATCCCAAGGGCTCTGAGGTTCTGTGACGGTCTCACGACGTTCCGGAGGCTTCCTTAAGGGATTCCCGCGGATTTATAAGGGGTGCTGTCGGCAAGTGCTCAAAAGGTCTTAGAAACATGATTTCAGACCCCATGAAGCTCAGCAGGCTCCCAGAGAATAAAAACAGTATTTCCGGTGTCCCCAAAGTCTACTGATATAAATGGACGTATCATTCCCTAGTCATTTCGACATAAAATATATACATTCTTAGCTGTAAACTAATAAACATCATTTATTGTTCTTCACATGCATGAAACCTCAAGAGGTCGAAGTGAGTTTTGTGAGTTTTAGTACGTTTGGTCAGGCACAAGAGGAAAAGACTCGAGACAGGTTCATCCGAAGAGGGATGTGGGGGCTGCCCTGAAGCAACTGCACAAGGGTGAAGCTCTGCCTCTGGTTCTCACAGAAAACCTCTCTCCCGCCTATATATACTGTGATTGTGTCCTACCCACTGAGGAACAGTTTAATCCATAGGCTATTTCTTTCCCCATATTCCAAGATATCCAACTCCTTTTAGGAACCTGACATGTATCTCAAATGGAGAGCAACTAAACAAATGCTGTTTTTAAAAAAATATTTTATTTATTTATTTGAGAGAGAGAGAAGAGCACAGAGGGAGAGTGAGAGGGAGGAGCTGACTCCCCGATGAGCAGAGAGCCTGAGGTGGGGGCGTGATCCCAGGACCCTGCGATCATGACCTGAGCCGAAGGCAGATGCTTAACCGAGACACCCAGGTGCCCCAACAAATGCTACTTCGGTATGGGACAGTAGCTGCAGTTTTCACACTTGCAGCACAAATGCAAAAGGAGCATCTGAACCCCAATACTAAGGGGGTATCTGAATCTCAAGAGGAAGGAAGCACCTGAACTGCATGGTCTCATCAGTTTGCTGGGAAATGATGATCATTTCTGTTACTGAAGGGAAAGTTCTGCAAGGGGAATTCAGATTATCTCAGAAAGACAGTAGTGAAATAGAAATGACAGAGTTATTGATAATGTTTATGTAGTTCTTTAAAGATAGTGGCAGGAAGCTCTGGGAAACATCAGGGAAGGGTGAAAAAATTTAAGACCTCAGTGACTTTGAGAAGTCATTTAGGTGAGAACATGTGTCTGTGTTGGAAGCTTGGTCACTCTGAGGATATTGTCTTCTTTTTCATTCATGAGCACAGTGAGCAATCCCAGCTTGGAGAGACAGTTGAAGAGGACATTTAGAGTAGCCGGAAGAGTAATCATAAACAGGGAATATGAGGTGTCATGTCTACGCACTGCTCTAACAAGTGTGTATGGAGCACATAAATAAACCACTTAGAAATGTGTGTATTTCTTCCAAGAGTTATGGCAAATACTTAGTAAGCAATGCCAAAAATAGAAGCTAAAAATTACTTAATTCAATGAGAGTATGTAAAAGTGTACAATTTATGTAAGATGAAAAGTCATCAAAAAATTTAAAAATAAAAAAGGTGAACGGAGTCTACAAATGTTCTGTGAATCTCAGTGAATTCTAGATTAACATGCTGTTGAAGAACTGCAGTCATTCATGGACAAATAAAGTACTAACTCATTTCCTCATGCAGGCACAATTAGGGATTAAGCTGGGTGCATCTCTCAGGGACAGTAATAGGAAAATGCCCACCCCAGTTTTTCTGGCTGGGACTTAAGCAGTTAGACAGACTAAGTTATCACTAATCAAAGGCTGAGAGGGGCGAAAGCTTTAGAAATCCCAACAAATTCAGCAGATCCAAAGCGAGTGCTGAGTTCAGAGTCTATCAAAGCACTTTTACATCTGGTTACATGTCGGGGTCACATGGAACCCATCTACAACTCCTGGTCATTCCTGCTCTCCAACTTTTGCAACCTTTGTATCACTTTTTATTTAACATGACTTCTATTTCTCTAAATAGGAGATGAAGTTTACTTTGCATCGGCCACAGATATTTACTAGAAATCTAATGTCACAGGCACAATAAAAAGAATCCTGAACCCACAAAAAGAGAAGAAGGTGGTTTTCAGTCTCACGCTTATCACTCACTATTTTTAGAGACATGCTATTAGAGACACCCAAACACAACATGATTCATAAGATAAAACAATCAAACAACACACACACACTCAGTAAGCTAAAATTTTTAAACTTCCCATGTCCCTGATGCTTCAGCATCCCCACAAACAGGCTGTGAACACCAGGTGACCAATGCACCAGTGTGATAAGGCTGGCTCCTGCCACAAGTGTCCCTTCTTGCTTTCTCCTGTCTCCTGTCTGTTGGTCTTTGTTCTGTGTCTGTCTCTCTCTGCTCCCCTCCTGCTTGGTTGAACCGGCTTCCTGGGCTCTCCTCCATCTGGCCCCTGAGTTTGCATCTGGCCTCCCTCTTCTAGGACTTGTGAGTATAATCAATTCTTTTTTTTTTTTTTTTAAGATTTTATTTATTTATTCATGAGAGACAGAGAGAGAGAGAGAGAGAGAGAGAGAGAGAGAGAGAGGCAGAGGGAGAAGCAGGCTCCCAAGGAGCAGGGAGCCCGATACGGGACTCGATCCCAGGACCCTGGGATCATGACCTGAGCTGAAGGCAGACGCTTAACCATCTGAGCCACCCAGGCGCCCTAATCAATTCTTTAATATGCCTCTCCAAGTGTAATTTCTGCTGCCGTGTTGGAATGATCCTTAAAGACTCCACAAGGGGAATTATTCCTCCATTTGGCCAGGGGGAGGGAATGATTCTGAACTCTGGGGAAAGTCCCCAAGAGATGCCTTTGACTGAGCACTTACTGCCTGGCTTGTTTACTGCGCCAACTGCACCATCCGGGAAGGCTCCCTGTCTTGGTACTCAGTGCCCTGCTCGGAGCTGCTTGGTGTTGCCCCTTCCTTCCGAGTGTAGCCAAGTCTGCCTCTCAAAGTGCAGACCCTGTCCCCATCCCAACAATGCACCCGGGATGCCGCTCTCCAGCTGCGATCCTGACAAGAAGGGGTAATTATCCCCTGGCTCCCGGATTCCCAGCCACCCAGCATGTGAAGTGATACTTCTCAGTGCGCCTCTGGTGACAGGGATTTCAGGTCTCCAGCCACTGAATCCTGAATCTCCCCGGAGGCGCACAGCTGTGCACTGCCCGGGGGGCTGGGTGGAGAGGGGGACCCGTGGGCGGTGCTCAGTGCTTCACAGTAGCCCTTGGGGAAGATCACTTGCACCCCTCCCTCTGGGGGCAGGCTGCACGTTCCCCGCACAGTCCTCCCCGACCCCTCCTAAGGGTTCTGGCTGCCCCCACCCCACCCCTCATCCCTCCTGGGGTCGCTCGTGGTCCCTGCCCCTCTGAGGTTGATCGGGACGCCCTGGAAAGGGAGAACACCACTGGGAGAGATGGTCAGGTGGACAGCCCACGAGGGGGGTAAACAATTAGCTGCCTACAGATAAGAGCCATTCTAAAAGGTTTTGCTAAGAGAAGAGGGAAAAGAAAGAAAAAGAAAAAAGGCAAAAAAGGGCTGATTATCCACAGTTGGGGCCTTACCAAGGGAGGCTACTGCCTGGAGAGACCAGGGCCCTTTCTCCTCCCACTTTCAGCTTATCAACCAAAGACAGGAGCAAAGCCTGGGGCGGGGGGGAAGCGTGCCGCTCTAGGGGGCACAGGCCTAAGATGGAGGGGGGAAAAAAGAATTTTACTCCCCAGGTACTAAGCAAATGCAGGTGTGGTGAGCATAATGCTAGCTCTAAATTACTTATCGATTTGAAAACAGACCCCTTGATGCAGGGGGAGAAAAATTAAAAGGTGATTAAATAAATTGTGCATCTTATGTGTATATAACTAAATTAAAGCAAGTTTCCATAATCTGATCTAATAGAATAAATATGTTACATACTAAAGAATTTCTATAACAAACACAGATTGAACTGGCACAGACTGGCTTTCCTGCCTGTACAATCGAGTCTCTAAAACAGAATTCACATTTGCTTACATGTGAGAGGATGAAGACTTTGAGTTCAGTGTATTTACTTAGGAAGAAGACTCCAGATACAGCATTAAGAGAGAAGACAGAGGTTAAATCTCATGCACCCCTGGAGAGGAAGATGAGGACTAAACATTCGAGGAACGCTTGGAAAATATGCCTCCCACCCATACTCACCAGGGCTCATATTGCAGCCTCCGGAGAAACAAGATCATTAAATTTCCACACACTATTTACTAGGTTTTCTTTTTTAATTCCAGTATAATTAACATACAGTGCTATATTAGTGTCAGGTGTATTAGGTTTCCTAGTAAATATTCTATTTCTGTGTTTTGCCTAAAGAGAAGGTCTATTCACCAAATTACATTTCCTTGGGGGGACAGCGGCCATCATGGTCACAGAGCACAAATGAAAAGGGGGCATTTTATCCTAAGGATAATGGTTTGGCCCACCATGAGGTCAGCCCCCTTGCTGGGAAGTAATTATCATCTCATCTATAACTGCACTGACCATGCCTGTATAGGGGCTTCAGATGATCCCAGAAGAACATTTGAGAAGGGTTTAAATTCTGTATGCTGTAATAAGTACTACTTACTTTATCCAGAGACTTGAGGCAGGAGCAGCTGTGTTTGTGGCCAACCTGAGGGCTATGTCTCCCAACCAGGATCACGTTTTATTTCAGAGAACCATGTGCAGTAACCACCTTGAAGAGCAGAACAATGAGGGGGAAAGGAGAAGGAACTGCCAGAGTGTTAGGGATGAACCTGTAGAAAGTGGAGAAAACTTTAGGCACTGTTTCAATCAACAAATCCGTGAAGCACATAATATGTCACCCACTATTCTCAGTGTATGAGAAAGATCATGGAAGAAAGACAGAAAACCAGCACACCAGTTAGGGGAGGGGCTCCTGTGTGGCCCAGTTGGTTAAGCATCTGCCTTCGGCTCAGGTCATGATCCCAGGATCCTGGGATCGAGTCCCGCATGGGGGGGGGGGGTCCTTGCTCAGCGGGGAGCCTGCTTCTCCCTCTGCCTGCCACTCCCCCTACTTGTGCTCTGTCAAATAAATAAATAAAATCTTAAAAAAGAAAAACAAAACCAGTTAGGGGAAAGAGTAGGGTAGGGGTGGGGATGGGATGAGATATAAGGAGAGGCCTTACCGTGAGGCAAGAGTTGAAAAGAGATGAGGCGGGAGGCTCACGTGGGTAGTTGGGGAGGTGAGATTAAAGCAGAGGGAAGAGGTAGCAGTTGTGTTCCAGCAAAGCCAGCAGACAGTGCATATGGAACCAGGAGAGCGGAAGGAACTTGTCAGAGAAGAGCTTAGAGAGGCAACATGGCGCCGAGTCTGGCAAGGCTCCCCAGGACTCTGCAAGGATTTTGCCTTTTCTCAGAAAAGCTAGGGAACATTGCAAGGTTTTAACCAAATGATTGACATTTTCTTTTTTTTTTTTTTTTAAAGATTTTATTTATTTATTTCAGAGAGAGAGAGAATGAGAGACAGAAAGCACGAGGGGGAAGGGGGTCAGAGGGAGAAGCAGACTCTCCGCCGAGCAGGGAGCCCGATGTGGGACTCGATCCCGGGACTCCAGGATCATGACCTGAGCCGAAAGCAGTCGCTTAACCGACTGAGCCACCCAGGCACCCCCAAATGATTGACATTTTCTGACTCCTACATTGACAATGTTGACTGGTGAGTTGAAGAGCTGACCATTTTTTCTGTCTCCACTTCTTGTGCACTTCAGTTAGTTGTACAGGGGGACTTAAAGGAAAGGAGGTTTTCATGTCTTTTCCTTTTTTTTTTTTTTTAAGATTTCATTTATTTATTTGACAGAGAGAGAAAGAGCACAAGCAGGGGGAGCAGCAGGCAGAGGGAGAGGGAGAAGCAGGCTCCCTGGGAGCCCGATGCGGGGCTTGATCCCAGGGTCCTGGGACCGTGACCTGAGTCAAAGGCAGACGCTTAACTGAGTGAGCCACCCAGGCGCCCCATGTCTGTTCCTTTCAGAGCAAAAGTGGGTATCTGAGGTCTGTCCCTGTCTCATGGCAGGCTGCCCCCTACTGCCCACAGGCTTCGGCCTATACGTCCTGCAGGACTGCTGTCAGCATGGTCAGCTAGTTTACTGTCACTAAAGGCAATGGTCACTTCCAGGTCTTTTAAAAGTAGGCACTCTAGTATCTTTGGGTGCTTGTAGGCTCTTTCTTTTCTTGAAATCCAACCTGTACCTTCCCAGTCTTCCTTCTGCTCCGTATCCGTCCACAACTCATTTTCTGGTTCTTTTGTAAGATGTTATTTCTCTGCCCACATCATGAATAAGGATGCTTCTCTGAGGTCTGAAGAATCGTTAATATTAATAATAAATTTGGGGGCGCCTGGGTGGCTCAGTCGTCAAGCGTCCGCCTTTGGCTCAGGTCATGGTCCCAGGTCCTGGGATCGAGCCCCGCATCGGGCTCCCTGCTCCGCGGGAGCCTGCTTCTCCCTCTGCCTCTTTCTCTCTCTCTGACTCTCATGAATTAAAAAAAAAAAAAAAAATCTTAAAAAAATAAAAAAAATCTTTAAATAATAACAATAATAAATATGGATAGAAACCTTATCATGGAAGCACATGGTCCACTTAGCCTATCTCCTTGGGCTGCAGTGTCTCCTGACCCAGATCTCACTATTTATTGCCCTCCTCCGGGGAGACTCTCAGTCTCCACAGATCACAGGAAAGTTTCTCTCACTAATGTTTCCCCTGCTTCTTGGAAAAGCATTATTAATCACCACTGTTTCTGCTAACTGATAGAAGAGACAGAAAGCGTTCCAGTTATTCTCAACTCCCCAAGCAGGCACTGTCATTACCGCACCAGGTGACTGGATAATTTGAGGTGAGATCAGAGAATTTTAAATTATGTCTTAGGGTTCTGCTGATTCCCCACCACCCATCCTCTGATTGTGGTGACTGTCACCACAGGCCCAGGCTCCTGAAAAAAGACATTTTGGATAACTCTCTCCTCGTTATTCAAAGTTTTTAAGAAAATGTAAGGATGTTGTAAAATAAGTATTTAAAATATATGTATATTAATTAATGCTGAGATATATGAAAACCATTAATTTTGTATGTTTTTCTTATATTTGGGTATCATTAATTCTACTACATTTTGAATTAATCCTCTACATATAAAAAGAAGGTAATTATAACCTCTACAAATGAGATCCTTTAATGTTTTTGCTTTACAGTGTTTTTATTTTAATTTGCGTGCCCTATTGTTTGGGGTAGTAATAGTGTGGTAGTGGCCATTGTACATTTGCATCTGAATGAAACAGGAGTAAATCTCTGACTTTGCCATCCTTATATGGAACTGTACTCACACAGAATAATCCAATTTGCTTATGGTGAATTATTCTGTTACTATCCTACTATAAAATAGGTCATTGATATTATAATTTGGATTCCTTCATTTTCATACAAATAGGAGACTGCCCTCTGGAATGACTACTTAACCAGCAAAGGACAGAGAGAAAGTGTACAAGCAGGGCAGAGGGAGAGGGAGAAGCAGACTCCCCACTGAGCAGGGAGCCCGATGCAGGGCTCGATCCCAGGACCCCAAGATCATCGTGACCTGAGCCAAAGGCAGATGCTTAACAGAGCCACCCACCCTGCAGGTGCCCCAGTTCGGCAGTTTCTTAATAAGAGAAATATCTACCTACCCCCTGACTCAGACACTCTACTCCTAGGTATGAACTCAAAAGAAACGAAACATATTTCCATGAAGACTTCACGTAAACATCTGTGGCAGCTTTATCTGTAAAAACCAAGAACTGAAAAACAATCCAGATGTTAATTAACAGATGAATGGATAAACAAATGGTGTTACATTTGTAGAGTATAAAATATATATCTATATAGTATACTAATTAAAAAAAAAAATCCTAACTATTCATGACACAACAGAGATAAATGCCAAAATATAACTGTGCCACATAAGAGAAGCCACACAAGGAGTAAGGATTAGAGTTATGTGAAATTTTAAAAAAGGCAAACTAATCTATACTGAATAAAATAAACACATTTACCCAGACACCAAGTATCGTCCACTTCCCAACATTTCCAAAAACACTTCCAACACTCCTAAAGAACCCTTACCACCAAAGCCAGAGGCATGTCATCTATAGTGTGTGAGCTCAGATGTGAGGCATTTCCTGCAGTGGGCGCATATTCCTTACTTGGCTGAGGTGACAGATATGGGGAGGATTAACTGAGTGAGGAATTACTGGGGCCCTGAACAGGCCAGACATGTGGTTGGTGTTCAGGGGATGTTAGCTGTTTTTTTGTTTTTTTAATAATTTCTTCCCTAGGGGCGCCTGGGTGGCTCAGTTGGTTGAGCAGCCAACGTGATTTTGGCTCAAGTCATAATCTCAGGGTCCTGGGATCAAGCCCTGCATCAGGCTCCCCACTCAGCAGGGAGTCTGCTTGAAATTCTCTCCCTCTCCCTTGCCCATCACCCCACTCACTCACTCTCTCAAAATAAATAGATCTTAAAGAAAAATAATTTCTTCTCTTTAAACTATTTTTTTCTTTTTTTTAAAGATTTTATTTATTTATTTGAGAGAGACAGATTGAGAGATAGAGAGCATGAGAGGGGGGAGGGTCAGAGGGAGAAGCAGACTCCCCGCTGAGCAGGGAGCCTGATGCGGGCTTCGATCCTGGGACTCCAGGATCATGACCTGAGCCGAAGGCAGTTGCTTAACCATCTGAGCCACTCAGGCGCTCCACAATTTATTTTTCTTAAATTATTGTAGTCTTTACATCTTTCTGGTAAATGGGGAAAAGTTTTCCTTGCCATAAAGGATAGGTTACCATGAAAACACAACAATAAAATCAAAATAATGCTATTACATCCTAGCAAACTCATGGGGCCTGCTTAGGACTGCTCCCTGTTTGCCAAAGGGGAAGTCAGTAATATTTAGGGGGGCATACAGATTCACCACTAAACCAAGACTTCCTCCTGATGCCAGTCAGGAAGAGAAGGGAAAGAAGGACTGGCTCCCAGAATGCCCACCTATGCCACCTGATGCCATGTCAGCACGCCCTCTAAAACCATCTCCCCGGGTGCCTGGGTGGCTCAGTTGGTTAGGCGACTGCCTTCGGCTCAGGTCATGATCCTGGAGTCCCGGGATCGAGTCCCACATCGGGCTCCCTGCTCAGCAAGGAGTCTGCTTCTCCCTCTGACCCTCTTCCCTCTCGTGCTCTCTCTCTCTCAAATAAATAAATAAAATCTTTAAAAAAAAAAATTATTTAAAACCATCTCCCCTACCTGAGGACTGTGACCCAGGCCTTAAGGAAACAGGGATGACTATAAAGGCGCCTCCTCTGCCTCCTTCAGTGCACTGTCAAACGTGCAGTGACAGAGGAGAGGGTTGTTCCCTCCAAACCAGGGTGCCCCTGCCATATTGTACTTGGTCCAGGGGGGGCCGTACAATGACTGTGTGGCCCACATACCAGACTCAGTAGTGTCCCTATACCATGCCTGTCCCGAGTCTCTGTGGGGTGTCTGTGCAATTTGTGTCCCCGTACTTGCTAGGAGGTGTCAAGACCTCATGTCTACCTCTCAGGTCCCCAGTGAGTTTTACATATACCAGCTGTGTGTGCCTCACATCTGTCACACACCATCAGTGTTGTGGACATAGTGTCTGCATGCATGTCCATGCAATGCTGAGGATGTCAGCATTGCACATTTGTCACGCACGTTCCCAGAGTATATGTCAGGTCTCCCCAGGATGTGCTAAGGGGAGTCAGTATCACACGCCTGCCAGACAGGGCTCCCTGTATCTGAGTGTGTGTGTGTCCCCAGGCTGCACTGCAGTGTCATCGCCACGCATCCATCCCATCGAATACCTGAATGTGTTTCCAGGTGGTGCCACCACCATACACCCATCTGCTGGGACTCATCATTCATTGATATCTAGTGCACAGGAAATTTGGGGGAAGGGTCAGCATATTATGAGATACAGGGAGCCAAAGCTAGAATGCTGCAAACTGTAATGGACACACGGCTCATCACTTCAACAAGTAAATACTAAAAAAGAGATGTGGCACCTATAGGTTAACAGACCGACAAAACACATTTTGTATCCTTTTGTTTTTTTTTAAGAAAAGATTTTATTTATTTACTTGAGAGAAAGAGAGCACAAGCACAGGGAGTGGCAGAGGGAGAAAGAGAAGCAGGCTCCCCACCGAGCATGAGCCCAATGTGGGGCTCGATCCCAGGACCATGGCATCATGACCAGAGCTGAAGGTAGACACTCAACCGACTGAGCCACCCAGGTGCCCCGTATTTTGTATCCTGATTGTAACTAGTCTACCTTTTTATTAAGGGTTTTATTTATTTATTTGACAGAGACACAGCAAGAGAGGGAATACAAGCAGGGGGAATGGGAGAGGGAGAAGCAGGCTTCCCGCCGAGCAGGGAGCACGATGCGGGGCTCGATCCCAGGACCCTGAGATCATGACCTGAGTGGAAGGCAGATGCTTAACGACTGAGCCACCCAGGTGCCCCTGTAACTAGTCTCTACCTTAAAGAAAAAAGACATTTTTGAGAAAACTGATAAAATTCATCATTGACTTTTTCATATTTATAATTTAAAATATTTTTATTCTGGGAGAAAGTTATTAGCATTATGAAAAAGCTCTTACATTTTAGAAAAGCATTCTTCAGTATGCATTAAAAAACATGATGTCTATGTTTCATGGGTAAAATAGCCCACTAATATGTATAAAGGAAGATGAAACCAGAAAGACCATAAATAACAATGGAAGACTGAGGCTCCATGAGAGTCTTTTCCACTTCTGTTTATATTTGAAAGTAGCCATTATTATTCAAAAGGTAGAATATGTCCTCATATCAGTAATTCTATATGCTGGGAAGAACAAATTTAAAAAGGGCACATGGAAACTTTAGTTTTTTGTTTGTTTGTTTTAAAGATTTTATTTATTTGACAGAGAGAGACACAGCGAGAGAAGGAACACAAGCAGGGGGAGTGGGAGAGGGAGAAGCAGGCTCCCGCTGAGCAGGGAGCCTGATGCGGGCTCGATCCCAGGACCCTGGGATCATGACCTGAGCTGAAGGCAGACACTTAACGACTGTGCCACCCAGGTGCACCGAAACTTTAGTTTTTATGACTCAAAACATCAAAATATACATTTCAAATATGTGTATTTGTCAATTACATATCAAACTTTAAGTTATAAATACTCAAATAGCATCACTCCCTTATCATTCTACTGTTTTATCACATATGTTCTTGAGGTTATCTGTGGCTACCGTATCAACAGGGTGAAAAGAGAATGTGCTTCAAACAAAAAGTTGTACTACTGCCAACTCGTCCCAACTTCGTGTTCGGTGACATCATGTTGGCGGTTTGAAACTGGCCATTGTGGGAGAACTTACACCAAGGAAGTTGGCAAATGCTGCAAACTAGGGCTTAATTTATTATTGATATATTGCCGAATATATCAAATGCCTACACCCAGAAAGTGATGGAAAATATGCTACTAAATGGTATAGGTAGCCACTACATTGTACATGCCCCCAAGAAAAACTGAAGAAAAAAAAATGACAGAATATTCTTCCAGTATTCAAAAACAATCATTCCACACAACAAAGAAGTTGCTCACATTACTGAACAAATAAAATTCCAATATTAAGTCTTTGTTGTTTCATCATCTTACGTGTTATTAAAGGGAAAATAACCGGGGCGCCTGGGTGGCTCAGATGGTTAAGCATCTGCCTTCGGCTCAGGTCATGATCTCAGAGTCATGGAATCAAAGCCCCGCATTGGGCTCCTGGCTCAGCGGGGAGCCTGCTTCTCCCTCTCCCTCTCTCCCTGCTCATGCTCTCTCTCTATCTCTGTGTCTCAAATGAATAAATAAAAAATTTTTTTAAAAAAAGGGGAAAATAACCAAATTTCATAAAATAAAAACTAGCCCGAGGAGAATAGGCATTTATTAAAGATAAATAGAGGGGCGCCTGGGTGGCTCAGTGGGTTAAGTGTCTGCCTTTGGCTCAAGTCATGATCCCAGGGTCCTGGGATCGAGTCCCACATGGGGCTCCCTGATCGGTGCAAAGCCTACTTCTCCCTCTTGCTCTCCCTCTGCCTGCTGCTCCCCTTGCTTGTGCTGTGCTCTCTTTCTCTCTCCAATAAATAAAATATTTAAAAAAAGATAAATAGATGGCAAATACATGAAACAATGCTCAACATCATAAATCCATACGGAAATGTAACTAAAATGAATGAGATACTAATGCTTATCTTATTTTATTTTTTTAAAAGATTTATTTATTTATTTATTTGAGACAGAGAGAATGAGAGAGAGAGAGAGCACATGAGAGGGGGGAGGGTCAGAGGGAGAAGCAGACTCTCCGCCGAGCAGGGAGCCCGATGGCGGGACTCGATCCAGGGACTCCAGGATCATGACCTGAGCCGAAGGCAGTCGCTTAACCAACTGAGCCACCCGGGTGCCCCCAATGCTTATTTTAGAACAGTAAAATTAAAAAGTCATCTTACCAGGCATTGACAAGGGTGTGAAGGAATTTGAAGTCTCACACACTGCTGGTGGGAGTACAAAAAGACACAACCATTTTAGATTACAGTTTGGCAGTATTTTTTAAAAAGTTAAATATTGGGCGCCTGGGTGGCTCAGTTGGTTAAGCGACTGCCTTCGGCTCAGGTCATGATCCTGGAGTCCCGGGATCGAGTCCCACATCAGGCTTCCTGCTCGGCAGGGAGTCTGCTTCTCCCTCTGGCCCTCTTCCCTCTCGTGCTTTCTATCTCTCGTTCTCTCTGTCTCTCAAATAAATAAATAAAATCTTTAAAAAAAAATTAAATATTTACCTCCCCTATGACTCAGACAGTGCACTGAGTCATTAATATAAGAGAAATTAAACATATAACCATATAAAGAATTATAAACAAATTTTCACATCAGCTTTATTTCCAATAGCTGAACAGTAGAAATAACCAAAATATCCATAAACTGATGAATGGATAAATATTGTTGACGACACATGAAAGAAAAAGCATAAGAATTAAATAGTCCTATAAGCACCATTTATGAATCTCAAAGCAGTGTCAAGAAAACAGAAAAAAAGAGTAAACACTTTATGATCAATCATAAAATTCTAGAAAATGCAATCAGTTGTAAAGGAATGTAAATCAAAGGTGGCCTGGAGAGTAAAGGAGAGATTATAAAAGGGAATAAGGAAAAGATGCAGGTGACGGACATGCTCATCATCACTGATAACAGTGATGGTTTCCTAAGTGTTTATACATTACCATGTTGTATGTGAACTCTCCAGTGCTGAATGAGGTCAGATTTCTGGCTAAAAGATCTGCCACATTCTATGCACTCATAAGGATTTGCTCCAGTGTGCACTCGCCAGTGTCAAATGAGATGGGTTTTGTGGCTAAAGAATCTCCCACATTCACTACACTTGTAAGCTCTTTCCCAGCGTGAATTTGCTGGTGCTGAAGAGGTCTGTATTTGTAGCTGATGGCTTTTCCACATTTGCTAAATTCATCAAGACCTTCTCCAGTGTGGAATCACTGGTGGTGAAGGGTGTAAGTGCTACTGAAAACTGTCCTGTATTCAATCCACTTGTGACTTATTCCACTGTTAAAGGGCTCCCCACACTCAATGCTGCACTGTGGCTTCTCACCACTGGGAGTGTCCGGGTGCTGGAGAAGGCCTGAGGTAGCTGGAAAGAAAGGGTCTTTCAAGAAAGGTCTATGGACCACATAGGGGGCACGTGGATGGCGTAGTCAGTTAAGCATCTGACTCTTGGTTTCTGCTCAGGTCAAGATCTCAGTCCCCACAGGATGGCGTAGTCAGTTAAGCATCTGACTCTTGGTTTCTGCTCAGGTCAAGATCTCACTCCCCACAGGTGAAGGGCTTCCCTGATACACGGAATCTGCAGCTTATCACAAACAAGGTACTGTTCACATCTATTTTGAAGATTTTCTTTCCACTGTCATGCTTTTGGTACTGGTGAAGGTTTGCACCAAACCAGAAGCCTCTGGATGCCCCACCCAAGTATGACTTCTGCCCAGAACATGCTGCTTGGCTCAGAAGGGTGCAAATCATCTTTCAATATTGGGACACAGGGACGCCTGGGTGGCTCAGGGAGTTAAGCATCTGCCTTTGGCTCAGGTCATGATCCCAGGGCCCTGGGATCGAGCCCCACATCGGGCTCCAGCCCCACATCGGGCTCCCTGCTCAGCGGAAGCCTGCTTCTCCCTCTCCAACTCCCCCTGCTTGTGTTCCCTCTCTCGCTGTGTTTCTGTCAAAAAATAAATAAAATCTTAAAAAAAAATACTGGGACACAATTCTCACAGAAATGAGTCTTTTGGATTGATGAGTCTGCTTTAGAAGTCCTGACCTGTGATACTCCTCCTAACAGAAACGCTCTGCTCAGAAGGTACTTCCTCATCCTCTGCTCCAAACCAACAATGTGAAAGTAGAGAAATACTGATACAGTATATTTTAACTTTGCAGAGAGTGAAGTCCCATCAAGAATGTGTGTTACAGGGGCGCCTGGGTGGCTCAGCTGGTTAAGCATCTGCCTTCGGCTCAGGTCATGATCCCGGAGTCCTGGGATCAAGTCCCACATTGGGCTCTCAGCTCAGCGGGGAGCCTGCTTCTCTCTCTGACCCTCTTCCGTCTCATGCTGTTTCTCACTCTCTCTCTCAAATAAATAAATAAAATGTTTAATCCATGGGAGTAATTTCAGAATGAGGCAGCAATGTGAAGGGAGGGCTGCTTTGCAGTACTGGGCCTCTAAAGAGAATGAGGGAGACCTTTTGAGACAAAGGGCACAAGGATGGGGTGCAACACAGGGAGGGGAGGCAGAATCACGGATTCACTCCTCTCCAACAGCCTTCAGCAGGAACTTGTTGTCTGGGGACAAGTCCGCGCTACACAGAATAATGGTTGTGTCCAGGCCAAGGGAAATACAAGTGGGACTGAGTATCTGGGTTTAAGGCTATGTGCATACCTCACAACACATTATGTGTGGGAGAACAGCAGACCATGCAGTGGAGAGGAACAAATGATACATGGAGGTCAGAAACCTGGGGACGGCCAGGGAATGGAAGTCACAGATGAAATGTCACTCAGAATCAGAAAAGTGTCAAGTACATAGAAAACAGTGTAGATGATGTGTCCAGTGGCAATGCACCAAAACACTGGTGGACACAGGGCAGGTTCCTGGTATGCTCTGAACACAGCCCTGATGTCATGCCCACCCGCCCACCACCAGCTGCCACTCACCAGGGCCAGGCTTCCTCTGAGACCATCCTGCCATGTTCACCCTGTGAAGCAAGCAGGGTGCTCCCCAGACTCCCAGTTGTGTAACTAAATGGGACCCGAATGAAGCAAGTCCTTAGGGAAAGAGAGCACAGGTGAGTGGTCAGCACTGGACCAGAGCAACTCAGGCAACATCAGAAGACAGGAAAGAACATTACAATAAAGTCTCAAAAGAGAGTCTTTCAAGAAAGGTCTATGGACCACACAGGGGGCGCCTGGATGGCGTAGTCAGTTAAGCCTCTGACTCCTGGTTTCTGCTCAGGTCAAGATCTCAGGGTCATGAGATCAAGCTCTGCGTTGGGTTCCATGCTCAGCGGGGAGTCTGCTTAAGATTCTCTCTCCCTCTCCTTCTGCCCCTCCCGTCAAGCCCTCATGCACACGCGTTCTCTCTAAAATAAGTAAATCCTTAAAAAAAAAAAAAAAAGAAAGAAAAAGAAAGGTCTATGGACCACGTAAATAGTGACCATGACAATGCTTACAATTCCTGATATAGGCAATCACAAGGAATCTTTAAAAGTTCTCATGACAAGAAAAAAATATTTGGAACTCTGTATGGTGATGAATGCTAATCAAATGTAATGTGGTAAGCATTCTGCAATATATACAAATATCAAATCATTATGCTGTGCACCTGAAACTAACATGTTGTCAATTACAACTCAATTAAAAAAAAAAGAAGGGGCAAGGGTACCTGGGTGGCTCAGTCGGTTAAGTGTCTGCCTTTGGCTCAAATCATGATCTCGGGGTCCTGGGATTGAGCCCCGCATCAGGCTCCCTGCTCAGCGGGGAGCCTCCTTCTCCCTCTCCCCCCACTTGTATGCTTTCTGTCAAATAAATAAATAAAATAAAAAGAAGGGGCAAAACCTGGGGCACAAGGTGCCATTGATCTGGACACAGTCATCCCGCCCGGGAGAGAGTGAATGAAGTGAGATCCATTACAGTGGTTGCCAGACTCCAGACTCCTAGACCTTCCCCTGTACACTATGGGGTTGCAGGTGTTAGGGCTGCTTGAAGAATGCATTGCATGGGACAGGGCACACAGCTTAGCATGGGCACCCATAACACATATGCCAAGGAAGTGGGGAAGTTAGAAGCCCAAGTTTGGTTCTGGGAGAGGGAGAAAGACAGTTCAGGATACTGAGAGGAAAATGAAGGCCTTACCCACGGATGTTGTTAAACGCCAAGTTCTCTAGCATAACACTGTGGTACAGGAGCCTCTGAGCCTCATCAAGGAGCCCCCACTCCTCCTGGGAGAAGTACACGGCCACGTCCTCAAAGGTCACACAACTCTGCCAATAATGGGACGGTTCATTCCATAATCAGCTTCTCTCCTAGGACCCCAAGTTCATCTACCCACTCATTCTTCCCCTGCTCACCTACCTCATGTCCCCATCTGAGAGAAGAGATGCCCTGATGCCACTGATGCCCACTCTCTCCTCCTGGTCCCCGTTTGATCACTATACCCACCCCCAGCAGCCACAGGCAGGTGGGCAGTTAGCGATACCTACGCTCTGGGCCTGGCCTGCAGGGAAATACTTTCTCGTTAAGCAATTCTGCTAGGATCCCCCAGATCATACCTCCCAGACATAACTAAGGGTGTGGGCTACCATTTCACCCTGAGGTCCTCAATGCCAGGGCCCTCGGGCCTTCACTTCCCACTCCCTCCCCCAGTTCTCCTTGCTCCATGTTATTCAGCACATGGCATAGAGAGTGCTGGCAAATTCAAACAGGATCTAGAACTACCCCATCTCCAGTGGCAGAGGCAGCCCAGAATCCTGCTCTACAGGTCTCCCTGCCTGACTATTCCTTGCTTCAACCTCAGCCACTCAGAACCACTTATGGATCTCAGACACCCATGACCCTCCTCCACTTGTGCTGCACTTGATGGGCTCTCGCCTGTCAAGCCTTCCTCTCTCTTCCTAACCCTCATTCAAAACCAGTGCCAGAGACCTTCCACCCCAGGTCCAGCAATTCTCCTACATGACCACGTGGCCCCTGAGCTAATCCACGTGCCTGGCTGAAACTCCCTAGACACACCAAGGTCATGACAAAATCCTGGTGACCCCAGAGCAGTGAATAAGCAGCAGTCCTGGCCTCACTGCCTCCACTACCCCTATGCCTCTGCATCCACCTCACGTGCAGGTGGATCTCATCCCTCAGAAGCCTTGGCCATCTGTACATAGTGGCCATCTCATCCACTTCTACACTGTTCCCACCACCACTTCTCTCTTTCACTTGTGTTTATGATGTCTGCCACTCCACACATAGGTGACCAAGCAGGAGACCCAGGCCTCTGATCCCGCCCTCCCCTTTCTGGACTACTATTTACATCATCATGGCGGAGATTACCCTTCCTAAATGTGATCCACAGCAATTATGGACTGAGTGTATGCACCCTCCCAAAATTCATTCGTTGGAGCCCTGACCCCCAGTGTGATGGTATTTGGAGGCTGGGGCTTTGGGAGGTTTAGATTCGGAGGCTGGGACCCTTCTAAGGAGAGAAAGATAGATCTCCTGCTCTCTTCACTTGTTTGCACCAACAAAAGGCTATGTGAGGATACAGTGAGGAGGTAGCCATCAGCAAGACAGGAAGAGAGACTCTCACCAGGAAATGAAGCTGCCAACACTTTCATCTTGGACTTCCTGGCTTCCAGAACTCTGAGAAATAAAGGTATTTTGTTTTAGCTGCCCAAGCTAAGAAACACAGCTCCATCCTGGTCCACATTTTGCAGACCAGTGCATCCAGCTACCCATTTCTACTTCTACTCATTTGTTCTCTGAAACATCTCATATACTTAACATGGCCAAAACAATACTAGTATCTTGAAGGAAAATTAATCCTATCACCGACTTCTACATCCCAGTTGGAGCTTCTAGCCTTCCAGCTGATAAACCAAAGATCTTGCAGTCACCCCTGACTGCTACTTTTTTCTCTCTCACCTTCAAAATCAGAAAATGCAGATCTACTAAAAAAAACTTGATTCAGAATCCAGCCACTTTTTCTACCTCCAAGGCCACCGCATTGGTCCACATCATCAACACTCACTGGACTACTGAGGTACCCTCTTCCCTGGTCTTCCTGCCACTTTCCTCACACCCCTAGTCTGTTCTCCATGGTGCAATCACAGGAAGCCCCGTAAGAGCTTGATCAGATCCCTCCACTGCTCCAAGCCTCCCGTTGTTCCCATCACCTCCAGAATAGACACCCAACTTCTCAGGGTGTCATCCAGGTCTGGCTCCTGTCCCCTGGCTCTCTGTTCCCACAAGAAAGGACACGGAGGTTCCCTTATTCAGCTCAGTCTCCCCTCCACGGGTCTGCACACACAGGTACCTATGCTGGGGCAACCTTCCTCCACACCTCACTCTCTTGGTTGCCAGCAGTAGGAACCACTCCATATAACCTCCAGCCGGATCTGAGGACCCTGGGCTTACAATCTGTTCCAGGTCCCCAGGCCCAAGGCCTGGAAGAATGGTAAGTGAAGAGCTCCAGGACACCACAATCACAGAGATCATGAGAGGGATCAGGACCAGCGAGGTTCCGGAACACCATCCACTCACTCACCTCTGGGGGTTCCCTAAGTGCTTCTGCACTGGTAACAATCTGTATGAAGAGGAAAGTTGCCAGAAGCAGGTGACCATGGCAGGGTTCCATGCGCTCCAGGCTCCCCTGCATCTCACCCAGCCCTGGAACCCAGTGACCTCAGGCTAACCTCTGTGCTTCAGTCCGCAGTGCTCCCACCAGCTCTGCGACCTTGGACAAGAACTCCACTTCCGGGGCCTCTCTGTCTTCTTCACCCCCGTCCCAACCTGTTCACTCCCTCGAGCAGCTTTTGGAAAGCCGTTAACACCCTAACACTGACTGTGTCCCTCTTCTGTTGACGACCCCCCAGGGCCCTCGGAACAGAGGTACGCACCTCGGCCCGCCAGTCCCGGCGCGACCCCGCCTCACGCGCTGTCGCCTGCGGGCAGCCTCCTCCCGCCTCAGGCCCCCTCCAGCCTCCGTCCAGCCTCCTCCCGCCTCAGGCCCCCCGGCCCGGAGCCCGCTCCTCACGCCGGCACGCCGGCGCTCGCACACGGGGCCCCCGCCCAGCGCCGCCGCCCCGTCCGACGCCGGGGCCTGGGCCGCAGGGCCGCGAGCCGCTCGGGCCTCCGGGATCTGGGTCGGGGGACGGCGGGGAGGGCCCGGGGGACGAGCGCTTACCTGCGGCGGCTCCCTGGGCGCGGCCGCCGCCGTCGGACTCGGTGGGCGGAGCGGACACCCGGACCCGCGGTCCCCGTCCCGGCGCAGGGCAGCCCGGGCGGCGTCGCCAGCCGCGGACCCCAGGGGACAGCGCCTCCTCTCGCGCCTTCCCGGTCCTGTTACCTCAGTCTCCACCGGCGCATCAGAGTGTGTGATTCAGCAAACAGACCTAAGAGTAGCCAAAACAACCCCCACGACGAGGACGCCGGAAGTCCCGCCCCGACGTCATGCGCACGCACGAAGTTGCCCTTCTCGGGAGCCTTCTTTTTTTTTTTTTAAAGATTTTTATTTATTTATTTGAGAGAGAGAGAGAATGAGAGATAGAGAGCACGAGAGGGAAGAGGGCCAGAGGGAGAAGCAGACTCCCCGCTGAGCAGGGAGCCCGATGCGGGACTCGATCCCGGGACTCCAGGATCATGACCTGAGCCGAAGGCAGTCGCCTAACCAACTGAGCCACCCAGGCGCCTCTCTCGGGAGCCTTCTTAGCTACACGCCGACGGCGACCGGCTCAGCGTCCCCTGGGTAATGTAGTTCTCACAGCTCGAAAAGCCCTGGCGCTGGCGTCGCTCACCGGGAAACCCATGGGAAAGAACTGAGAGGGAGAGATACTGAGAGGTGGTGTCTCCAGCTTCCAGGGGTGGGGGAGGGCCTTCTCTCCTTTAAGGGGCTGCACTTAAGATTTCCGAGGAGTGTTGTCTGCCACTGATCACCTGTGTCTTCTCGCTTCTCGGCCTTCTGAGTAAGATCAAGTGTTTAGAGACATTATTTCAGCCTGTGTTTAGAGACATTACTTCAGCCTTCTGGAAGCTTTAGCATTCTCCTGAATTCTCAGTGTGTTATTTCAGATGCTCCCAATGACTATAAATCTGTTCTACAGAGTCATTCAGACACAAAATGTATCCACCTAATGGTTTATCTTTTTTCAAGTGCCTCTAGCTTGAAACGTTTAGAGTCAGTTTTGTGAATTTCAGTATGCCGGGTCAAGAACAAAAAGAAAAAGACTCCACACAGGGACAGAACAGAGAAGATACGGAAGGGATGTTAGGCTGCTGTAAAGCAGGAGGACAAAGGTGGAACTGTGTTTTGGGTTCCCACAGAAAATGACTCTCGGTGATCGTGTCCAACTCGGAGGAACATGGGTTTTATATCCGTATTTCTTACTCCATAGCCTTAGATACATCAGTTCCTTTTAGGAATCTGACAACTATTTAAAGAGCCACTTACCAAATGTCATTTTGGAATAGGACAGTGTCTACAGTGTTCCCAATATAGGAGCACATGTGCAAAGGGGATACCATGAGGTAAGCTTTTAGGACACCAAGATCTCATCCATTTGATGGGAAGTTATTATCATTCCTACTGTTATTGCAGGGAGGGTGTCTGTATGAGGAGTTGCAATTATCTCAGAAAGAGTTGTGAAATGAAAATCACTGAAAACCATTAATAATGATTATGTAGTCATTCAAAGGTAGTGGCAGGATAGCTCTGGGAAAACATCAAAAAAGGGTTGAAAAAAATATTCCTACCAACTTCCATTAGCAAATTATGCCTGGAGATGAAAAAAAAATGTGTCAATAATGGCTATAGAAATGCTAAAAGAATACTCAGTAGCTGTGAGTTAAACACACTTTCTTGGGCGCCTGGGTGTCTGTCATTAAGCTTCTGCCTTCAGCTCAGGTCATGATCCCAGGGTCCTGGGATCGGGTCCCACAACAGGCTCCCTGCTCCGCGGGAAGCCTGCTTCTCCCTCTCCCACTCCCCCTGCTTGTGTTCCTGCTCTGTCTCTGTCAAATAAATAAATAAAATCTTAAAAAAAAATAAACACACCTTCTTACTGATCTTCACTTCATGCATAGTGGAGGCTTCAGACTGGTATTGTGAGGATCAATTTGGTCAGAGATGAAAGATGGACTCAGGCTATCAGAGAGAACATGGAAAAGTAGGTACCCCTAAAGTAGACAAGGGTGACATGTCTCTGGGTCCCTCAGAAACCATCCCAGTGCCTCTTTTTGTATTTATGTCCCAACCCAAACAAGCAGAATTGATTTTCAAGATAATATTTATTTATGATTTGCATAATGTTCTATTCTTATAATTTGACACTTATCTGGAAATAGCACTTACCAAATTGTCACTTGCTGCCAGGATGGTGGTTGTCATGGTTGTATCCATGCACGTGTAGAAAATGAATATATGAGCCCTGAGATAGAAGTCTCTGTATCTGTGATCTCATCTCTTTCTGGGAAGTTATTATCATTTCACCTCTAATTGCTATGACTGCATCTACATGAAGAGTTGAGATGATCTCTGCAAAACATTTGCAAAATGTGCAAGTCCCTGAATGCTACTGATGTTAATGTTACCCATAAAAAGTGCCAGAAATACCAGGGAGGATACATATCTTTAATTATTGAGATAATTTAAATATCAATAGCAGGTGAGCAAAGGACCTTCTGTGAGCAGACTGCATTCTGGGTTCCTGGCTATCCTGAGGGTTTGTCTCCAAATGTGATGTCTTCAAAATCCTTGTGGATACCTAAAATTACCAGATTTGAGGGAGACACAGGGAAAGAATTAAGAAAACATTTCCAGTGTAGTAAAGATGAACAAGGAGGCAGTGGTGTCTCATTTTTTTTATTTCAATAAACATTTATTGAGCATATTGGTGTGTTAGTCTTTTTGGTGTGTTATGTCTCAGGAAACAAGACAACAAACCCTATCTCATGTTGCTTATAATCATATTGAGGATATTAATCAGAATAATAAAAGTAAATATAAACAACATAGTGTCTTTTAAGGGGATAGGTGCTTTGAAATAGAAAACAGGGTAACAACAATGAGAAGTGCAGGAGAGTGCAGACAGGTTGTGATATTGAAGAGGGTTTGTCAACTATTCCTCAATAAAGCTGGAAAAAAAGAGAGTTGAGTAGGCTGCTCCATTAATAAAAGAATGTGGGGGGCGTGCCTGGGTGGCTCAGGTCATGATCCCAGGGTCCTGGGATCGAGCCCCGCATCGGGCTCCCTGCTCCACAGGAAGCCTGCTTCTCCCTCTCCCACTCCCCTGCTTGTGTTCCCTCTCTCGCTGTGTCTCTCTGTCACATAAATAAATAAAATCTTAAAAAAATAAGTAAAAGAATATGGGGTTAACCATGTGTATAGCCTTGTGTTCCACAGAGGAAACAACTAGAATAAATGCCTTGAGCCAGTGCATACCTTTCATGTTCCAGTTAGAGTAAGAAAGCTAATGCAACCAAAAGCGTGTGAGTGAGGAACAGCTTGGTAGAAGGTACGTGGGATCATGAAAGGCGCTGTAGGCCACTGGAAAAACTTTCCATTTTACTCAGATTGATAGAGGAATCATGACAGAAACTGGAACATCGTGCTAAGTGCCTGAATGAGAAATGAAGAGAAGGTGAGCTGAGTAACTGGAGAGAGGTAAGGTGAGAAGCCGATGGATGACTAGCTAGATGACTTATTACAGACATCTAGGTGAGAGGGAATGAGGTCTGCAATCAAAGTTGGAGTGGTCCTGGATACAGTGTCATTAGACACTTGATATATTCTGGTTATTTCTTTTAATCCCTAAAGGATTTTCAGCTGGGTTGCAGAATAGGGCATGAACATAAGAAAGGTGTAAAAAGGACTCCCAAACTTCATGCATGAACAGGATAAGGGACCTGCCATCAGCTGAGACTGGGAGAGCAGCAGAAATGGGTTAGGAGGGAAGATCAGGAATTGAGATACCAACATTGTTAAGTACGAGATGCCTGTTAAGCATGTGAATATAGCTGTCAAGGCAGCAGGCACATCTCTAGAACTTTCGAGAGTAATGTTGACAGAAAAGTAAGTCTGAAAACTTTAGTTTGTAATTTCCTAGGAGGTATTGAAAAGATGAGACTGGATGAGATTACCAAGGGGGTGACTTTAGGCGGAGTAGATGAAAGGAAAATAGGCTGGTGTGCAGGGAAAGTCCAACACTAATTCTTTGGGTAGAAAAGGAGAAACATTACAAACTATTTCTCAGTTGGATAGTAACAAGGCTCCTATGTCTGTCTCAGCCTATTGAAAATGAGGCTACAGCTAGAAATGCCTGAGGTACTCGCCTGGGCCATACTACTTGTGGTGAGCCCCACAGAGCCAATGTTCATGGTTGGGTTGGCTCCTGTAGCTTAAACTCAAAACCCTGAGATCAAGACCTGAGCTGAGATTAAGAGTCTGACCCTTGACCAACTGAGCCACCCGGGTGCTCCTGGCTCTTGTAGTTCTTACTACGACTGCAAGTTGCACTTTGGCAAAAACCATCAGCAAATTTCGAAGAACAAGATTTATTACTCACAGGTCCGGGAGGGTACAAGGCATGACAAGGGCCGCATAGCAGGTCAAGGGTAGAAAGGAAGAGAGGAAGCTTGGACCTGGGGCTCTGCCTCTATTGTCCAGGGGTGGGGTGCCCAGGTTTTGCAGGTTCACTAATGCTTTAAATCCGCCAATAGTGATTTAAAGTTAAGCGGATTTAAAGTGTAAACGTGGGCTGGACGTTAGGGTATGAAAAGGGAAAAGGGAGGTCACTCAAGCAATCAGTTATCTAGGTTACTCATGGCTTTCTTAAAGGGAAACTTAGCTTTAAAAAAAAAAATGCCTGGGTGGCTCAGTCAATTAAGTGGCTGCTTTCAGCTCAGGTCATGACCCCAGGGTCCTGGGATCGAGTCCCGCATCGGGCTCCTTGCTCAGCGAGGAGTC